GACTGGGGGATTCTGGGAGTTGAAGTCCACCCATCTTAAAGCAGGCGGACTGGGGGATTCTGGGAGTTGAAGTCCACCCATCTTAAAGGATGCTGACTGGGGGATTCTGGGAGTTGAAGTCCACCCATCTTAAAGCATGCTGGTTGGGTAATTCAGGGAACTTAGAACTTAGAATAACAGAGTTGGAAGGGACCTTGGAGGCCATCTAGTCCAACCCCCTGCTTGAGCAGGAGAGTCTATTCCAAACATTCGCCTCTACCTAGGACCGAACTTACAGCCCCCTGATTGTGAGGCGAGGGTGCCACCTCTAGGCCAGGGCTGAAGAAGCTTAGTTGACACCTACCCATCTTAAAGCATAACGTCTGGGGGATTCTGGGAATTGAAGTTCACCCATCTTAAAGAGTATTCCAGACATTGACCCCTCGGTTGCTGAAGTCGTATTTCCTGCAATCGAGTTTGGTGCGATTAACCTGGAGTTTGTATCTATTGTGTGCTCTTGTGTTGTTGTGGTTGAAGCTGAAGTATTCATTGACAAGTAGGACATTGCAATGTATGATTTTATATACTATACTTAGATCAACAAGTTTTCGATACTGAGAAACACCTGCCGTGTGCAAGACACAAAATCACACACACACACACACAAACCCCCTTGTCTTCTTTCAGGTCGGCTAATGCTGCTGCCCCACCTGCGGCTGCCGGAGGAGAGGCCGGGGGTCCCCCCGCCGCCCCACCCAATCTCACCAGTAACCGGAGGCTCCAGCAAACCCAGGCTCAAGTGGATGAGGTGAGAAGTGGGGGATTCTGGGAGTTGAAGTCCATGCTGGGGGTGGGGGGTGGAGGAACACTGCTCCAGAGGCCGAGAACTTGAGGGCAGCGGAGGGGGCCTGTTATGCCCCCACTGAGTTTCTTTGTGGGAGTTTGACAAGGAGTATTGGAAATCTTCCTTCCTCCTTCCCTTCGTCTCTTCCTTCATCCCTCTTTCTTTCATCCTTCCTCCTTCCTTTCTCCATCCCTTTCTTTCAT